TGGAGTATTTTGCGGGAATCAGCGCATAGATTTTTCAGGGTTGGCGGCGGTATCCGCAAATTTGAATTCCGACCTTCCGAGAGATGACTGAGTTCTCTCCTGACAGTAAACCCGTGAAGCAAAGGGCGCAACAACGGCTGCCGTATGTATTTATAATCTTAACCTCAGAGCAGCTGCCTTCTTCCAGGCGTATTAAATATTGTCCCAGAACAGCTTCTGCAGAGTTTGAGCACCGCTGCTGCAGCCCTTCTGATGCTGCAGCTTACATGATGCTGTAGCTCATGATGCTGTAGCCCCCCCCTTATTATGTCTGATGCTGCACTTCTGATGCTGCAGCTTCTGATGCTGCAGCTCTGAGCTGAGATAGCTTCTGATGCTGTCAGCTTCTGATGCTAGCATCTTCTGATGCTGCCATCTACTGAAGCTTGCAAGACTTCCTGATGTCTGCAGGCTTCTCAGATGCTGGCAGACTTACTGATGCTGTAACACTCTGTCGGCCTATCATCATTATTTTTACATTATTATTTTCTCTTACTTTCTAGGTATATCTGATCTCCTCCTCTCTTAACAACTTTTCTCATGACTGAAGTCGCTCCTCTTTAGCTAAGATTAATCACAGCTGCTTCAGCTTCTAATATTAAGCTCAGCAGCTTCAAGCAGCACATTGCAATGCCCAACACGGCAGAGTGATCCTCAAAGGAAGATATTGCGAAGCGACATTCTCTGTTTCTGGTGTCGGTGCTCAACAGCGTTCTTCTTTTCGTCTTCAGGAAGTTCTTACTCTCCAGCCTGCCAACACAGGGACCTCACCTCATGTCAGCCACACTCTGATCCCGCCAAAGCTGCTGAGATCCAAGCGTTGCATGATCAAAAACGTATCTTGTTTTAAAGGAGGTGTAGTGTAAGCAGGAAAAGACCTTTCGTTCAGAATTGAACAAAATTCCCGTAGTGCGGGTACGTTATATATGATTACTCGAAGACCAGCGTCAGTAACACTTGACAATTTTCCAGACTAATCTTAACTAACCTACCATATTCTTCACCGTGTACAAAAGTCCTTTTTACTTGCACCTGCAGTTTAAAATCCTCGCTGTGGAGCATCACTGTGTAAATCTGTACTGGTGGTACTTGCAGTGGGTGGCCTCTTCTCACAACCCATCAGAGTGAAAATAACTTTTCCAAAATATACGTTAATAAAAATTACCTTCTAGAATGCTCAAAAAGAAATACTCAGAACCTAACATACAAGTATGAATGTACATACATGATATAAAGAAGTATGAATACATCTGAGTTCGCTCCAAGCCTCCCACACGGCGGTGATGTGAGACTAGTTAATGCTCCAAGTCGATCGGCACGTGTCGTTTGTTGCGGGTTATCTGTGTAGTGTATAAATTCTGGCTTTCTTCCAATTATGTCCTGGAATATGTATTGATAAATCCACTTGGATGGCAAAACGTCTACTATAAAGCGACAGCAGACTAGCATGTGTCTATTTTACACACAGCAGTTTACACACAAGGTTATGATTACCTTTAGATAAAATATAACATTCAACAAAATGGTGTATGTAAAGTTGTATAGGATATTATGATAAAACAATATGCCCCCCTCTCTCGTCTTCTCTCTCTCACTCTCTCTCTCCTCCATCTCTCTCTCGTCATCTCTCTCTCTCATCTCCTCTCTCCTCTCTCCCCTCCCCTCCCCTCCTCCTACTACTTCCCCTCCCGTCCTTCCCCTCTTCATAATATGAAGTATAAGCACAACAATAGAGGAAGACGGGAAGGCAGAGTCAGCACAGCAACAGCAGCAACAGCAGCAACAGCACCAGCAGCCAGCAGCAGCAGCATGACAACAACAACAACACAGCAGCAGCAGCATGCAGCAACAGCAAGGCAACAGCAGCAAACAGCAGCAACAGGCAAGCAGCAGCAGCAGCAGCAGCAGCAACAACAACAACAACACAAACAGCAGCAACAGCGAGCTACAACACAACAGCAGCTAGCAACAGCAGCAGCAGCAGGCAGCACAGCCAGCAGCACAGTCAGCAGGCAGCACAACAACCAACAACAGCAGTAGCAGACAGCAACAACACAACAACAGCATCAGCAGTCAAAACCAGCAAGCCAGCAACAACAGCAGCACACAGCAGCAGCACAACAACAACAACAATCGTCGCACAGAGCGATCAGTGTGGGCATGCTAGCATAGGGGGGGGGGGTTGGGGGGGGGGGGGGGGGGGGGGGTGGGGGGGGGGGGGGGGGTTAGCAGACACAAATAATCTAACAACTAAACAACATGGCAAGATCAATAAGCAACAGTCAGCAAAAGCAGCACCAAACAAATAGAACAGCAATCAAGCAAAGAGGAGTCAGCAGCAAACAACAAGTCATCCAGCAGTGCAGCACAGCAAGAGCACAGCACCAACAGCAGCAGCAGCAGCAGCAGCAGAGAGCAACAGCAGCAGCACAGCAGCAGCAGCACAAGCAGCAACAACAAC